CCCGCCTGATATTTTACAGGACATTTGCAACATTCTGCCAGCGATACAACAGATGGAAGGAGTGAAAGTATTACCCTTTCACTCTTTCGCTCTCCCCCTCCCAATAAATCTCTTGCACTAACTGCTGCATGTGGCATGTTTGCTTAGTGGTATACCTTGGTAAGGTCCCTCCAAGGTACTAACTTCACACTAGGATCCTAACCGCCTCTTCCACCTACAACAAAGGTACTTTCTCACTCACTGGCAGCTTCGCAATATGGTCTCTGGCAGGGCTACTCACCTCTGACCACGACACAGGATGTGAGGCTTCATTTCTCAAGCACAGTTCTCTCCTTGTCTTCTGACTTTTCTCGAAAGTCCTGGTACCAGGCTACTGTGTCTCTTTCGGGCTCAGAGCCCTTGGCCCCTGTTCTTGTGTGAGGACATATGCAACAGCCTCTGATCCCCTCTGAATTTCTGAGATGCTCTGTAAACCAGTTTGAACCCAAACTCACAGAGATCCTCCTGCCTCTGCCTCCTGAGTACTGGGATTAAAGACCTGTATGACCACTGCCCAGCTTGGCTTCCTTTCTCTTGAAGCGGTGAAATAAACATGAAGTTGGGTAAACTGAGGGAGGGGGATCTAGGAGGAGTTGGGAAAGAAGAAAAACATGATCAAAATATATTGGATAAAAAATTTTAACTATCCTACCTTGAGCTTGTACAGTGAACAGTAGCATCGGAGCCGAGTGGTAGAATCGGAGCCGAGTGGAGCTGGTCAGGATGGTCACGGATGTGCAGGTCGCTATCTTCGCCAATATGCCGGGCATGACGTTTTTCCTGCTTGTGGTTCTCTATTACTATGTGGCTGTCAACAATCCCAAGAAGCAGCAATGAAAGTAGTGTTTTCTCCGCCCCAGGGTTCCAGGACATAGTCTGAGGCAAGAAGGAGAGTGTGAGGGGCCTTCACACTTCACTGTACCCCACCTACCCATCATAGCATACAAAGCAACTACACCTGGATTTTTCCAAACAAATTTTATTTCCTCAAAGCCTTCCTTAACCCTATGGAACATGAAGCTGCCACTGAACAGGGCCCAGTATAGGGGTTGCTTTCTTTTCTATTCCCTCCCCCAATATATATATATATATAGTGGTTAAAAGAAAATGACCCAAAAAATAAGACCTAGAAATATAGCTCATTGCTCAACAGTAGCCAATTTGCCTACCATGTGCAAGGCTCTGTGTTCAAGCTCTACTACTAGAAAACTTTTTAATTAAAAATAGAAAATAAGGAAAGGGATACAATAAAAAGTATCCCTTCTAACTTAATCTCCCATTTCCTTTGCTCCTACTTACCCACTCACACAAAGTTAACCAGTTTCTGTAAATCTAAAGTACAAATGCTTATGTTCAAGAATATACAACATGGGGTCTGGAGAGATGGCTTAGTGGTTAAGAGCATTGCCTGCTCTTCCAAAGGTCCTGAGTTCAATTCCCAGCAACCACATGGTGGCTCACAACCATCTGTTATGAGTTCTGGTCTGCAGGTATACACACAGAAAGAATATTGTATACATAATAAATAAATAAATATTTTTAAAAATATATAACATTCAACATACACTTTAACAAACACTTCCTGTTCACTTAAAGGTATATAAAACAAACATTTCCTCATTCACAATTTATTTAATGGGTGCTTTGATGAACATTTGAGTTTTGCTATTAAAAACAATGCTGTAGTGAATGACTTGGTATACATGTTTTTCTCAAATATATACAAACACTGGTATATTTTTGGATATATTTTTGGAAGTAAACTACTGGGTTACAACCTATTTGCAGTCAAAATTTCAAACTGCTTTTATTGCCTTCATTAAGACATACCAAATTATACTATTACACTTAACAGATTCCCTCTCAGAGCCCTGATGACAATACTTTTTCAAATGTTTTGTCACTAAAATCAGTAAAATAATAGTTAAATGTCTTTTAGGTTTTTACTTTTGGATTTTCAGTTCGTAATAGCCATTGGCAAACATGCTTTGATGCTTCCTCCCCCAGCTTCTGGCTAAAATATTTAAGAATACCCAGAAAAGGGGAAGGCTTGTGCCAACTCTGCAAAGTAAAAATGACAAGGACTTCAGTGCCAGAATGTGTGAAACATTTTCATTAACTCTAAGATAAAGCACATGCTCATATGCATGCAGGTTCTCGTTCTCTCTCTCACCCCTGCCCCCCATCTCCCTCCTATATTTTTCCCTCAGGACATTCTCAATGATTCTATATAGTATTGCAAGACATATTTGACAAGTGAAAAAGCCATGGCTCAGAAAGCTGAAATTATCTGCTCATCTACAGACAGATCTTATCCTAAGAGTCAGAGCTAGGGGCTAGAATGATGGCTCAGAGGTTAAGCACACTTGCTACGCTTAAAGACCTGGGTTCAGTTCAGCACCTACATGGCAGCCCATATCCATCTGTACCTCCAGGTCCAGGGTATCCAGCACCCTTTCCTGGCCTCCTTGGGCATGTGCATAGGCACTCAAAAACATAAAATAAATACATCCTATTCTTTAAAAAAAAAAAGTGGAAGAACTGAGGTTCAAACATAGGTCTGCATACTACAAAGTGACACTCTTTTCAATAACACACATTTAATCCCTTTCTGTTTTTACTCTTGGTACAGGGACACAATGTTTACAATCAGAAAAATTATCACTCCCTCAGATTGAGTACTGACTTCTGAGAAAGTTCAAAATGCTTTTCTTTCGTCTACTCCTTCATAGCTACAGTATTTTCCCCTATATCCATAGAAAACTAGATCATTTGGAAAATTCTAGTGTATGTGTAAAATGGTGAAAAAATGGAGAAGTGAAAAGAGGGGTGCATTTGGTGGTCACTGGAGAAGATAATGCACAAGTTGGGTTAATATCAAGCCTTTAGTAGTCAGGGATTGGCCAAGGGTTTTCATTAGAACAGCTCAAATGGTGTAGAGACTGTTAGTCCTTCAAGGTGGAGAAACTGAAGCCTGAAGAAGTTAACTTACTTGCTCAAGTCAGCAAAATCCTAGGTGGAACTTGGCTATTTCTGGGAAGAATTATCTGCTCACAGACTGAATGAAAAGACTGTGGCATGGCTGCTCATTTGCAGTTTATATCAATGGCTGTGCCTTTCCTTATGCCATTGTTTCAAATTGCAAATCATTTCCTTCTGTGACTTCAGAGACTCCCAGATCACTAGAGAAGAATTTGAAATTTGGAGGGAGTCCAGAACACCTAAGACTAGAAGTGAAAACAAAACTTGTTTGCTTAAGATATGGTACTAGGTAGACCTGGTGGTGGCGGTGCATGGCTTTAATCCCAGCACTCGGGAGGCGAGGCAGGCAGATCTCTGTGAGTTCGAGGCCAGCTTGGTTTACAGAGCAACTTCCAGGTTAGGCTCCAAAGCTACAGACAAATTTTGTCTCAAACCGCCCCCACAAAACAAAACAAAACAAACATGATACTAGGATGCAGTTTCCATGTGCTTTCATCCTGCTTCAGTTCTTCAATCCTTCCCACCTGTTCACCAGTTCATGAAGTCTCTTCCCTGCCATAGCTGCAGATCTAAATAAAGTCTGATAGAAACCTGACACAATCTGAAAACAAGGAAACTTCAAAAAGATGCTACTTTTGAGACTTTCTTTTAAGTTCCTTTGGGTTTCTGCCATCTCTTGGTTTAAGAGTTGAGGAAAGCCACCCATGATTTCCAGAGTCTATGTCAAGGAAGTGAGTTGGAGACTTCCAGGTAAATGGTAGGCTAGAAGCTGCCTTCATGTAAGCCTGCGAAGGAGAGAATCAGAATAAGAGAACCCAGACACTATCTAAACAGAAGAGCTTTGGTAATCCACAAAGGAAAGGAAAGGAAACCTGTACTGTACAGAGAGGCAACAAAGTCCTAGAAATTAAGTTGAACATGGCTCTTAGGGGAGGGGAGGAGAGGGAAGCTAAAGCACTTGCTTCCTCTCTCAGTAGGAGTGGAAACTGAATAGGCTGCTCAACAAGAAGATTCCCAAATAAAACCGGAAGATTTACCAGTAGATGTACAAACCACAATACAAACACAAGTAAAATAAAGCAAGGCCACATGACTCCCCCAGAAAGATAATTCCTCAACTACAGAGGGGCTAATAAGTAAAATGCTGGATAAAAACTTCCAAAGTTTCCTGATAAGAATGATCAATGACCTCAAAGAGGAAACAAACAAGCAGATGAATTCAGTGAAGGAAGTGGAAAGTGAAGATACAAGGAAACACTGAGGAAAACGTCACCAAAATTGATATTAGGAACCTGGAAAAAAAAACAATGGGAATACGGAGAAAAGTTCAGCAAGGAAATTGAAATTTCTATGGCATGTGTTCATACACACAAGTACCACACACACACACACACACAAATAATTAAGTATCATTTTAAAAAGCTATTAAGGGAACCATGTGTTGGTACACGCCTGCAATCCCAGAATCTCAGAAGTAGACATGATAGGATCAGAAACTCCAAGTCATCACTACTATGTATCTTCAGCTACACAGTAAAATTCAAGGTCAGGATGGACTACATAAAACACTGTCTCAAAGTAAGCAAGCAAGCAAGCAAACAAACAAACAAACAAAACAACTTCTTAAATAAGCAAAAAAGCTACAAGGGAAAAACATGAACTCACCTACAAAGCAGAACCATCAGAATAACATGAGACTATCGGCTCAACAACCCTAAATGCCAGGAAAGTGTGGAATGACACATTGCAAGTCCTGAAAATGACCATAAAACAAAAGTGTTATCTCCAGGAAAACTGTCTTTCAGAATTGATTGAGCAATAGACATTTCAAGCACAAACTGAGGCAGTTCATGACCATCAAGTCAGCACTGTAGGCGATATTTAAAGGAGTACCATATAGAGAGGACAGTCTCAACAATAAGAGAACAGAAAAATAAATTTCATGAGGGGAACACATGAAAACAGGAATAGGAAGGAAATTATCATGTCCAACTCAGTAAACCAGACAGTCCTCAATAGTAACAGAAGAGATAGTAAAGAACAACCAATATCAATCAACAAGGAAAACAACCAGCAAAATACAGGAATTGGTAAACGTCTCTCTCGGCAATAACCACATAGGTAAATGACCTTGACTTACCAATAAAAGGACAAAGGTCAAGTAAAAGGATTAAAAATCTAGATTCAGCTATTTGTTGTCTCCAAGAAACACACATCACCCATAGTCATATACAGATGGAAAATCAGAGGGAAAAAACAATTCATCATGAACAGAAACTGAAAAGAGGCTAGTAAAGTTGTCCTGACACCTCACAAAAAGACTTCAAGCAAAAATTATTCGAAGAGTTAAAGCAGGCCACTGGGTATGAAAAAGGGAAAATAAAAAGCTATAACAATTATAAATATTTATGAACCAAAAGCTGGGGCTTCAAATTCCATAAGACAAAGACGAATAGTCATTAAAAAAAAAAATCACCCAAGTCCTGATCCAATCATATTGGGTGACTTCACTATATCCCACTTTCTTCTTTAAATAGGACACCCAAACAAAAAACAACAAACCAGAGTTAAGCTACAGCACAGACCAGATATAAACAGAACATTTCACCTAAAAGGGAAAGAGCAGATTCTTCTAAGCAGCCCACAGAACATTCTCTAAAATAGACTACATTCTATGCTACAAACCAATCCCTTACCAAATATAAAAGAAATAAAAAAACTTTCTGAATATCATCAGACCTCCGTAAACTAGAGATCAACAAGGAAAAACCACAGAAACCACACAAACATATAGAGATTGGACACATTAATGAACATCCAATGGGTTATTGAAAAAAAACAGGGAGGAAATAAAAAGTTCCCGGAATCAAATAAACACTAAATTATAACTTACCAAACCTTTGTATGACCCTGGGAAGACGATTTTACCTTGCTAAATCTGTTTTCTTCAACTGCTTCAAGGTCAAACATCCTATAACCCATGAAGGTTTAACATTATTGTTAATTGTGTTGCTCAGGGTGACAGTGGTTTATGCAGAGGAATGAATAGGCTAAGTGTGACCTTCTTCCAGAGACATAATTTTTTCCAATTCAATATAAATGTTCAAAAAGCATACTCAGCTAGCAGAGCTGCGGGGAGTCAGCCTGATAAGACTGCATGGGTGGGAATCCAGAATCCAGCTCCTAACCAAGCAGAGTATCACATTAAGGGAAATGGACACATGAGAGTGCACACGCAAGGTGAAAAGGTATCAGGACAATGACAAAGACAATGAGAGAACTGTGAACACACAAGGAAGAGCAGAAGAGACCAGAGATGACAAGCAAGAGAAGCTCTTCCTGAAAATCTGGGTCCTGTTCCCAGCTGTCTGAAGAAATCTAAAAGAGAGGAATGCTCAATCAACAGATATCACAGAGGATGCAGACTGAGGCTGATGGTCAAATTACAAGTAAAATGTTTTAGAGAAATTTTCAAAATGAAACCAGTCTTATATAGAATAAGCTGAATATAAAACTATAAACCTGTTGCATGAGTTCTAATGTTTTAATAATAAAAAAACTAAGAGCCAGATATTGGGGTAAATGCTGAAAGGTCAGAGAGACAAAGGAGCAAGCCACAGCCAACTCTTACCTTGCTAAGCCTTCAGCTGAAAAAGGGCTCAGCTCCTGTCTCCTCCTGCCTTATATTTGTCTCTCCATCCAGCCATATCACTTCCTGTCTCTGTACAGAACTCCAGACTTCTGTGGTTAACTAGTCGCTAGCTCTGCCTTCTGATCTTCAGTCAAGCTTCATGAGAGTACAAACAAATATCACCACATAAACCAGAAGATAAAAATCAGTACTCAAGTTGGAGGATGTTCTGCTGTGTGCTGTGTGACTTTAAGGGCGAAAAGCAACTGAAATTATGGAGAGTGAGTCGGGTGACACTGAGTGCTGCCAACAGTGAGATGCTTAGGTGTGTGTAGGAATCTCACTGAATATCTCAATAAATACTCCTGGGAATTTAGGAGGACAGCGCTAGAAATCCTAAAGTAATTTAAGGGGGTACATTAAGAGAGATACTTCATATTTATGGATCCTTCCAAAATTTCAATGATAGAAACTTCTATGGCTCCTACGTAAAGTGCTCTCCAAACCACACTAAAGAAAAAGACCTAAATAACTGTGTCTCCTTGGAGTTCAGCATCAGAATAAAATAGTAGCTCTTCAGACCACCTGTATAATCCTTTAATAAGAAACATGTGTCCCAGGTTTGTACTTGAGCATCTTAGTGTAAAGGGCCATTGAGTCCTTAGTCAGTATGTAAAACCTACGTGTGGTCTTCCTACTTTAGACGAATAGACTGCCAGACTGCAGACTGGGAGGCCCAGGGCTATTAAGCTGTTCTATAGAAGAGGACTGGGTTTTGCCCATGGTTGCCTCAGTTTAGCTCTAGACCAGTGGTTCTCAACCTGTGAGTCATGACCTCTTTGGGGGGGTGTCAAATGGCCCCTTCACAGGGATTGCATATCAGATATTTACATGATTCATAACAGTAGCAAAATTACAGTTATGAAGTAGGATGAACATTATTTTATGACTGGGGGCCACCACAACATGAAGAACCATATTAAAGACTTGCAGCATTAGGAAAGTTAAGAACCACTGTTCTAGACAGAACAGAGACTTCCACAGAGATTATCCTGAGACTTCACTTCTATGCCTGGAGATGCAGGAAGCTGAGTTAGCCCTTTCCTTCAAATGGTTGCAATATAGAAAAGACAAACTTGCCTGGCCGAGAAAATGTTTGGTATTACCTCATCTTGTAACTCTTGAAACTCTTTTAGGATACAGTGCCCAAATGCACTTTCACTGAATTACAGGCTTATGCTAATTTTGACTGCTATTATGAACTATTATATACTAGATGACATGCAAAAACAGCCAAAGTAATGAATCAGGAAGCAAGCAGCTATGTGTCCCAATTACTTCATGAATGGGTGTCAGATATAAGCTGATCACTGTCTGTCTACCACTGGCTGATAATCAGGCTTGTCCTCAAGGCTGATTATCAAGGATACAATAACAGGAAGTAAACATCGCTCACTGTGCTGGAGCCTTGGAAGTCGGAAATCACAGTGGCAGCACAGCTGGGATCTGATGAGTATTTTCTTCCAAGCCACAAACTGTTAACATCTGTATATGCAGATGGTAGGAGAGCTGGCTCTCTGGCTTCATGCTGTAAGGGAGATAATCCAATTCGCAAGGGTGACACATTCATGACTATTTTCTTAATATTTATATTTTCTTAACTATTAACTATTTTCTTAATATCCATAACTAAATACCATCACATTAGGGGTTAGAAACAAGGCCACACTGAGATGCTGTTTCTGAGTCACTTGGAAAATCTTCATCTGCTTAAAAACTTGTTTTTTTGATAACAGGGTGGTTATTTGGAATGCTACAAAGATGTCTATTAGTATAGCAGGGGAAAAATGACTCAAAGTAAAGGCAGAATTTCGGTTGCCTAAAAAAACTACAAGTCCATGGGCCATATATTTCAGAATAGAAGAAACACTGCATAGAGGCTGGGTGAGGATCAGTAGAGAAAGTGCTTGCTGTACAAGTGTGAGGACCTGAGATGCGAGTTCCTGGAACTCACACAAAGCCTAGTACAAGAACTTGCATCTGAAATCTCAGTGCTCCTATAGCAAAGTAGGAGGAAGAGACTCTCCAGGGCTCAAGAGCCAGCTGACTTGGTGTACACAGCAGCAATGTGTATAGATGACACCTACGGATCCCCACATACGCACGCCCACACACAAACGAGCACATGTATCACTCACACACCCACAGGAAAGAAAAAGGGAATAAATAATGAAGTGGGGAGTGATGGAGAAAAACACTTAATTTTGACCACGGGCACATATAGGTGTTAAGTTATTTTGGCCCGACAAACCTCTCCGCCGACACAATAATCCAAATCAGACCAAATCAGAAAAATACCCAGATTTAATGGTGCCAGCTCTCCCAAGTGGCCCTCCAGGAAAACATGGAGCAGGGAAAGGTAGAATGAGCACGTGTTTGTTCTGGGAGAGGGAGTTTAAACAGGCTGTGGGAGTGGTCTTGACCCTCTCTAGAGAGGGGCTGCCATTTGTTGGGTTTTCCCAGAGGTGGAGTCTGGACTGTGGCAACTCCCAGGGGAGGGGAGGCTTGAAATGGACCTTTTCCACCCAATGATCCAAAATGGATGCCAGAGTTGAGGTAAAGCTCCACTCAAACGTTTCAAACTCTTTGGGTAAGGATGTTAGGGACTGAGGTGACATTTCCAACCAAATAATAGGCACATGCATCGCATGTATGTATACAAGTATGTATATTTTTTAAACATTTTTTAACTTATTTATTAAGCATAGTGTTCTGTCTGCATGTATCCCTGCAGGTTAGAGGAAGGCACCAGATCCTATTATACATGGTTGTGAACCACCATGTGGGTGCTGGGAATTGAACTCAGGACCTCTGGAAGAACAGTCAGTGTTCTTAACCTCTGAGCCATCTCTCCAGCCCCACACACAAGTATATTCACACGCAGAGAGAAACAGTGCTAAAGTTGACAGCCATTAACAAGGTTTATTTTGGGGTTAAGCCGATTAAACCTCTCGGGGGTTCAGAAAGATTCACTATGGCAGGTGAAAACTAGCAATTGGATCTGAGGGTAAACGGAATAAATCAACTCAGGTACATTCCCACTACATGTTCTTTATTCCTTTGCAAGAAAAAGCAGCAAGAAGAAGAATAATAAGGGGTGATCTCCATAAGGTTTCTAGTTATTACAGATATCATTGAAAAATTCCATAGGCAAAGACAATGATAATATGCATATCAAAATCACAAAAAGGGCAGGTAGACAAGAAGCCAGAGAGAGAGAGAGAGAGAGAGAGAGAGAGAGAGAGAGAGAGAGAGAAGCTCCTCTTCAGGGGCAGGAGAAAGACGGTGGGCAGTGATGGCGCACGCCTTTAATCCCAGCACTTGGGAGGCAGAGGCAGGTGGATCTCCGAGTTTGAGGTCAGTCTGGTCTACAAGAGCTAGTTACAGGACAGGCTCTAAAGCTACAGAGAAATTCTGTCTCTAAAAACAAAAAGACAAAAAAAAAAACAAAAACAAACAAAGAGCAGGTAGAACCTGGAAAAGCAGCACACAGGAAATAGCCAGAATCCAAGAGGAAATACCTGACATTCCAAATCATTAGATGAAGTTACTAACAGTCCCTGAACCCACACCCACACCCAGACCTGTCTATCTAGAAAGGGTGGGGCCTGCTATCTTCCTGCACAGTGGTTGTCTTCTATAGACATTTCTGGGCAACCTGTTAGCAGATAATTTTGTGGAATAAGCTTTAAAGTTGACTGTTAGAACAGTGAATGTTACTGCCCTAAGGCCTCATGGTGTTGAGGAATGGAACAAGGTCACTCAGTTGCTCCTGCAGACCTTACACTGCTGTTTTGGGAATAAATCCCATTTTAGAAAATCATGGCCTCACAAGGTTTTTTACAGATATGACAGCAGCTTTTCCAAAAGACAAGTGCTCCCACACCTCTGTAAAACAGGTTATTCCATGTGGACGTGTACGCATACACTTCCCATGGATTGGTCTATAGGTCTGTCAGCTGTACATTTACTGTATATAGTCTTGTGGCCTCCAACAAGCCATCCAAACACAAAATAAGAATCTAGCAACTGTGTAAAGCAAAGGACACGGTCAACAAAACAAAACGACAGCCTACAGAATGGGAAAAGATCTTCACTAACCCTACATGAGACAGAGGTCTGATCTCCAAAATATACAAAGAACTTAAGAAATTGGACACCAAAAGATCACATAATCCAATAAAAAAAAAAAATGGAGTACAGACCTAAACAGAAAACTCTCAACAGAGGGATCTAAAATGGCTGAAAGACACTTAAGGAAATGTTCAACATCCTTAGTCATCAGAGAAACGCAAATCAAAACAACTCTGAGATTCAATCTTACACCAAGATCAAAAACACTGATGACAACTTATGCTGGAGAGGTTATGGGGAAAAGGGAACAAACACTCCTACATTGCAGGTGGAAATGCAAGCTGGTACAACCCCTTTGGATGTCAGTGTGGTGGCTTCTCAGAAAATTAGGAAACAACCTTCCTCAAAACCCAGTAATACCACTTTTGGGTATATATCCAAAGGATGCCCAATTGTGTCACAAGGACATGTGCTCAACTATGTTCATAGCAGCTTTGTTTGTCATAGCCAGAACCTGGAAACAACCTAAATGCCCCTCGACCAAATAATGGATAAGGAAAATGTGGTACATTTACACAATATTACACAGAAGAAAAAAATAATCACAGCTTGAATTTTGCAGGCAAATGGATGGACCTAGAAAACATCATTTTGAGTGAGGTAACCCAGACACAGAAAAACAATTATCACATGTACTCACAGGTGGTTTTTAAACATAAAGCAAAGAAAGCCAGCCTACAAACCACAATCCCAGAGAACTTAGACAACAATACAGACACTAAGAGAGACTTACATATATCTAATTTACACAGGAAGTAGAAAGTAAAAAAAGACAAGATCTCCTTAGTAAATTGGGAGCATGGAGACCTTGGGGGAGGATTAAAGCGGGGGAGGGGGAGAGGCAGGGAAGGGGAGCAGAGAAAAATGTAGAGCGCTCAATAAATATCAATAAACAATGTATTAAAAATGCAAAAAAGTATCTAACAACTGGCTAGGTGTGGTACTGCACACCTTTAATACTAGTACTCAGGAGGTGGAGGCAAGCGGATCTCAAAATCAAGGCCAATGTTGTCTACAGAGTGAGTACCAGAACAGCCAGGGCTTCACAGATAGACTCTACTCTCAAGAAAAGAAAGGGGGGGGGGGGGAAATCAAGCCGTCATGTCTCACAATGACTTTAATAATGATAATTAATTAATTACCAGTGCTTGATAATCAGTCTTGTCCTCATAGTAAATCTCAAGCATAAAATGCAGGTAATAAAGAGATGAAAAGGTTGATACGCAGTCTGTTGTATAAAACTGTCTATACCCATATTTGATTACAGGTGGTCAGGAACATTTCCTAGGCAATTAGCAAAAAGGTGAAGGGAAAAGAAACAATTTATAGGAAAGATAACTTCTTGGGGCTGGAGAGATGGCTCAGAGGTTAAGAGCATTGCCTGCTCTTCCCAAGGTCCTAAGTTTAATTCCCAGGAACCACATGGTGGCTCACAACCATCTGTAATGAGGTCTGGTGCGCTCTTCTAGCCTGCAGGCATACATGTAGAAAGAATATTATATATACAATAAATAAAAAAATAAATAACTTCTTTGTTCCTATTATGTAGTTCTGGGGTTTTCCTGGCACCACCTCCTATATCACCATAGGAACAATGGTATTACAGACAAATAAATGCTACCATGCCAGGTTTTACAAGGTTGTGGAGATTTGAAATTGGTTCTTCATACTGGCATGACAAGTACTTTAAACACTGAGCCATATCTGCAGCCTGTGATTTGATATATACATACACAAAGTGAAATGCTTCAATTAAAATAATGAACACATCCATCACCAAACAGATTTATTACTGAGACCATAAAAAATTACTTCACAAACCTAAAATAGACAATATCTTATTAAGTCACCAAGATGAACATTAGGTCACCCAAACTGTCTCCTCTTGTTCTAAGTGAAGCTTGCATCTTTTGACCAACATGTCCTCATGTTTATCACCTATCCCCCACCCCACCCTCTGGTAACTATCCAAATATTCACACAATTGTGAGAGTCTACATATAAGTTATCTAAAACAATAGTCGTTTTTCTGTACTCAGCTTACTTCATTTAGCGTAATGTCCTCCAGGTTCATTCACTTCACTTCTACTGTAAGACTACGTAGTATTCCAGTGATGGAATTTCTGCATTCACAAATGTGTGTAAAAACACGTACAGAATAAACACAGGGTATGCTAACTTAAGAAAGCCACCATAAGTTGCCATCAATAGTAAGATAAAACGGTTTTACAAGGCTCATGAGTTACTGGCGGTTGACAGTTTCTGGGAAAAGTAGAGTAAGATTTCTTCAGGGAAATGATCCCCTGTAGGTTAACCACAATCTCATGGATGGCTGCCACCAATGTGTATTTTATGAGCACTAATTTTAGACTTTGGTTTTACACTTAAAAAACAAAAACAAAAACCAAAAAAAAAACAGGACATGAAGATAATCTGGGAGGAGTTGGAGACAAGGAGTGGAGCTAGATACAACTAAAATACATTGTATACATGTATGAATCTCAAAAGTAAGTTTAAATGGAAACACTGTGAAAGGTTTGGAAACACTGTGAAAGGTTAGCCAGAGTGAAATGGGGTTCAGTACTGTAAGGGCTTATTAGCTAACAACTGGCCTTTTCCCCTGTGTGACATCAGAAGCCAGTGTATTCCTGCAATGTCTTGTGCAGAACAAGAAATGCATCAATTTGAAATATGTGGCTTTAAAATATTTTAGATGAAGAATTGAAGTCCCAAACAAGGACTTCTGATAAATGACCTGAACAGAACGCATGTATAAGGTTTTAGACATCGGCTCCCAGATGGCCAGAGATGTGGACTTAAGCTTGATAGTTAAACAGATGTAAAAAAGGAAATGTGATCCCCCGAAAGACTCAGGGCATCGCTTAAATCAGATCCAGCTAACTGCTCAAAAGGAACAACCGCCCTTTTCCCTGACATGAACTTTCCCCAGGAAAGATTCTATGTCATGAGAGGACTTTTTTTTAATGCTAATCATAACATGGCATACAAGATTTGTGGAGACCGGTTCTTACTCTCACGCTGAGTAGTTTAACCAAAGCCATCTACTTCCCACACAAAACTGCTCACAAACAATGTATATGTATTTATGCTATTAATGTGTTTTATTTACTATTTTTATATGACATGATATTGATTATTCCTTTCCTACCTCCCTATCTCCATCTCTTCCTTCACAGTGTCTCTAGCCCAAACTGGCCTTGAACTCCCGATGTAGCCAAGGATAACCTCCAACTTCTAATCTTCTTGCCTCCACCTCTAGAATGCTGGGATTATTACACCAGGTTTATGGGGTGCTAGGCCTCAAGAATTCTAAACAAGTATTCTATCAATTGAAATCTTTTTAAAAAAAATTATTTTTCGTTTTGAAATAGGATCTCCCTGTATAGTCAAGGAGGCTATTTTGAACTTTGAGTGATCCTCTTGTCCCAAACTCAATCCCTAGTGTTTCTGTTATAGAGCTCCACCATCATGTCCAGCATGTTTCTTTCTTAGAGTTATTTACTGTTTGCTTGTGGTACATATTACAAATATTATTTTTTCTTTATTTTGTCCATGATGGTACAACAACAAAAAAACCTAAGAGAAAGATAATGTTATGGGGCACTTTCATATCTCACTCATTCTTCACTGGATTAAAAAAATAGCCAGAAAAAAACACAATATTTGTAATATATGTTTACTCATTCAGCAATTGTGAATGGAACCCCTACAACCAGTCCCAACAGGAAAAAATAGTCAATAAAAAACACACTAAAGATAAGAAGCCAACCTGATCCAACTGACCTTCTACTGGGCAGAGAAAGGCAAAAATCGATTCACTGTCTATTTAATGTCCTAAGAAATTCACACTGTGGCTACAAAGACGACTGTGAAAGCGCCTCCTCCACTACCACCTAAGAAAGCCAGGTGCCAAGGCACATGGAAGTAGAGCTTTCTCTACCAATATCTCAGTGGGTAGGAGAGCCTATCTTGGATCACACTGATTCTACTAAGGCTACTGCTTGACTCTACCCTGTGCTCTAGGCAGGATCTTCTTTCATTCCATCATTAGGCAGAGAGGCTCCACTTCCCTTTTATTAGGGAGGAAACCTTGGCATTCAACAATTTTGGTCCCTCCCATTGTAGTTTCTGACATTCTAGGGAGGATATACAGATAGTTTTGTCTGGATTGCTATGAACTAAAGTAGTGGCCAATCTGAGATCGCTGCACGGTCCCTCTCTATTGACATCCATAGTGTTGTGCTTCTTAGCCACCATTCCTATCAATAAGGACATTCTTATCAAAATAAGGACAATTATAATCCCAGACAGTTGGCCTGCTGGGAGCAACAGGAACTCTAGTTCTGGATACTAGCTGCCCTCATGTTCTCCAGAAGCCTTTAAGAACCAGAATCTATGAAGTCTCTCTTTTAGAAGCTCTATGGCCAAGAGCTGGGGCTTTAAGGATCAGCAGCTTACATCCTTGTACTGCACGACCCACAAGAGATCCTGTAGGTAGCCTACCTCCTCCAGGTGTACATGTAGCTCATCACTGACTGGATGAAGCTCTGGAACCATCAGCAGGGCCATGGAGATGCCTGGGTATTCATTCTCTCCATCTAATCCAGAAGTCCTTCGTGCTCCACTCTGCCACAAATCAGGCACAATCTGTTTCTGCTTTGTCCTCATTTGTTGTATCTATAACAAACACACATGAAATCACTTACACTAGAAGACAAGGAGCTTCCTAGAAGCAGTCCTGTGCCTTAGAAACCAGGAAATGTGCCCTTTAACACGAGTTCACATAACAGTTGAGAACATATAGCATCCCAAACAAATTACTTGGATACCACCCCCACATAACACACGTTTGGAGAAGCACACCAATCTTAATTTATCACTAGTTTGGTAATAAGACCATCCATACTCTTCATTTACAACATGGTAATCCCAATAATTCCAAAAATTATTTTGAGTTATTTGAGGTGATTACTGGACAATAAGCACACATCTAATTCAGAGAGTGAATATTTAGACTGCTTCTTACCTCTGTTTTTTTTTCCCACCAGGGCCCAGCATTTCCAAATGAAGCTTAGGAAGAATTTCTTCCTGGTGCCAAAATTAGAATCTTCTAGTTACCCCAGTCTGGTTCATGCTTGTTGGTTCCTTCCTGTTCCCTTCTCCTGTATCTTAGATTTCTCTATCATCTTTCTGTTCAAGCAGCTACTTGAAAAAAAAAAAAGACAATGGGGGTTACTAGATCCTATAGCCTGTCTGATCTTAGAAGGCAGAACTTCAAAAAGGCTAATCCTTCATTTCATTAATAAGCAAGCTCACCTAAGAAAGTCAGGGTAAAATACAGCACAGGGGCTATAGCACGGTCAATGGACCAGCCTATGACTCAGACATTGCAAGTGATGTGTAAGTGAATCAAAGTTCCTGAAAAAAAAAAATCAGTTTTATTGGTTACTGGTTACAGTTTTAATGGTTTATTGGTTGGCTGGGTCCAAAACCCAGTTTCTGATTTACTGAGTCTAGGTTTTGCACTTCTGACAAGGCCTCTTGTGATGCCATTGTTGTTGGTCTGGGGAACTAAGCTTATAAACACTGGGTTAGAGATGAAGCTGGACTGTGTAGTGCTATTTTATTTATGTTTTAATAAATAAAGCTTGCCTGAAGATCAGAGTGCAGAGCTAGTAAGCCACTAGAGGCCAGGAGTGGTGGTGACACACACCTTTAATCCCAGGACTCAAGAGACAGAGGCAGAGAGATCTGTTAGTTCAAGGACACCCTGAGAGGAATATAAGGCCGGAGGAGACAGGAGCTCAGAGCTGTCTGAGGCAGTCAGTCTGAGGACAGGATCAAAGCCACTTTGGTCTGTGCTTTGGTAGAGATAAGAACTCTAGTGGCTGGCTTCTCTGTTTCTCTAGTTTTTACCCCTATTACCTGACTCTGGGTTTTTATTATTAATACCAATTAAAATTTGTGCTACAGGACTGTAACCACGGCCATATTTCTTTGTTGTTAAATTGCTGCAATTACCTCAGCCTAAATTTCTTATATTTAAGGAGTTCAGCTAGCAATGTGTCCAGGACATTTGAATGAGGAATATGGAGAAAGCCCTTGGCATCTTATATTTAAGGAGTTCAGCTAGCAATGTGTCCAGGTCATTTGAATGAGGAATATGGAGAAAGCCCTTGGCATGAGTTAGCATTTGGTAAATCACAAATGGATGCAAACAACCAACCAGTAATGATTATGGCTCAAAACATACCATGGTGTGACATTGCATCTTCCTCTAACCTTCCTTTCCCAAACAAAGAATTTCTATCCTCAAAATAATGGACCTAAATTATGCATAAACTAAAGACAATCTTAAATCACCCTATGGCCTGGATCCGGATGAGGTGGATGCTGACTGAAGAAAGAACTGCTACTACAACCTGCCATCCAGCACAATGGGACAAGAATTTGGCATTGTCTTTAACTAAAGAAACAGCTGGGTGTCCTTAATATTCCAACCAAAGTCAAGGAGCGAGGTGTCTTTAAGCAGGAAATGCAGAAATCTTTCCAGGCTGTACCTTACACTACAGCAATATTCCAAGCCACCTGCCATTCTCAACCCTCCCCTGCAAAGCCCAGCTCATGCCTCCCTGCCTACTTAGCCATTTACCTTGCCTTAGTCTAGTAACACTTCTTTTGCCATGAATCCAATTCAGATCATTTGGTCAAGAATCTATGGACATTAGCGTGGACTGTGAAATCTTGAATCTTATGGCTTCTTTCTGGAAATCTTTTTCCTTTTTATTTCTCATCATTGTGCATCCCAAACCTAGAAAGGGAGAATCAGGTCAAGTGTGATGCTAGAATATATACCTGTAATCTCGGCACTTGGGAGAAGGACGGCAAATTCATGGTTGAAGTCGGCCTACATTACTTCAGACACTATAAAAGGGAGGGAAAGGGAGGGAAGGGGACTAGGGGAAGGTGAACTGAAACTGGGAGGGAGAGCATAGGGAGGAAAGAGGAAGGGGGATACTGAACAAGGAGCTAACTGTAAGATGTGGACATAACTGGAAGGATTCCAGTTTTGCCCACCAACAATAGGTCTATGTTTATTTTACTCAATTTGCCACGTTGTTATTGTCATGGCTGCACCATGCTGGACATGACATAGGATCTTTAAAACACCAGTCATGATCACATTGCAGCAAGGTCCCATGCCAAACTCTTAACCAGAATTAAAACTCCACTGGCATTGCACTGATGCCCTGGAGATCTGTCTGTGCCACACTCCTTCCTCAAGCAAAGGAAACCCACAGACACCCAGTCTGGATGGATGAGATCCCAGGACACATAAAGAAGACAAGACAGAAAAGCAGAACACAAAAAGGAAGGGAATAACGTCCCCACCAAAGGGACTCTGGGGTTTAGTCTTATTTGGAGTCTCATTAGTGGGAGTTTTATTTGGGAGCTTGGATCCAAATGCTCAAAGCCCTAACCTAGCCTGCGCTGCCAACCAAGCTCTGGTGCTGGTACTTCTGCACCCCACTAACCTTTTCTAGTGGTATCTCCTACTCTGAGGCTAGTTTTCAAAGTCCGGAATGAAGATGAAGAAGCAGTAAACATCTGTATTTTGGCTGTGAGTCTAACCTTTAACGGCTGAGCCATCTCTCCAGCCCAACATCTGTATTTTAATCTATGCTAGCTCATTAAACCCATACCACACCATTCCTAATGTCTTCAATCATTCCCGGAGGAGGTTGGATCTGACCGCTTAGGTCAAATGAAGATAGATACATACACTGTAATTTTTTCGGGTTTTCTATTACTCGTTTATCTGAAATTAACTCAATAATTTGCTTACTATCTGTCTCCACCTATCAGAATGAATTGTACCTGAAAAGCGAGACGATGTGTCTCAGGTCTCCAGGATCTGGCACATAAGGTCAGATTGTTTCCTCAACGAAAAGGACAGACGGAAGTCTGGACAGGGGCATGGATTACGCCCTCAGAATTCCAGCGCTAACTGGCTTCCCCTTCCCTCCCCCACAACCCTCCACAACCCCAGCCCAGCCCAGCCCAAACTTCCCGCCAAAATCTATCCAGCCCAATGCACATGTCCATGTTGCTCTTTGCGTTATTCCCCAGGATTTCTCTCAGAACTGAGACCTTCAGCCTTCTCGCGTTCATTCCTACCAGCAAAGGAAGTCACCTCAGTCCGTATGGAGGAAGCGGGGGCGGGGGGGACACGGGACACCTCTCAGGCCACGCGGAACGGCGAGCCGAACAGTCTCCGTACAGGAAAAACAAACAACTAGAGCTTCCCATCATTCCTGGCGGTCCGAGCACCGGAACCGCGACTTTTAAGCAGCCGGGACTTCCTGTACTGTTGCTATGGTTTCCAGGCTCTGATTTGCAGTGACTTACGTATCAATCAATTTCGAATTTACTTCCGGGGCACCCTCACGAGCCACGTGGGGGAGTTTTCTGCTTAGCCGGTTTTCTGCGTTCGCCTTCCCTTTTCCCTTTTTCTCGCTTTGGAGTTTCACTGGTCCGTTCCAGTCCAAACATCAAAGTCTGGAGATAAAGAAAACATTCTTCTGGCCTTTTTTTAACCTGTGAAACAGTAGCCGCTTGGTGGCAGCATGGTTTCATGAATGCGTGCAGGGCCGCTCTTCCCCCGCCCTTTGTGTTTAGAAAAAAAGGTACCTCAGTCAAGAACTACTTCCTTATAGAAATGCAGTATTTTCTGGCATTTTTATGGGCCCCCCAGGTTGTTCTAATTCTGAGCCAATTTGATGAGTGGAAGAGTGTTTGGAAAAAAAATGTTTTTAGCTTGTTTATTTGATTAATAAACTTAATAAATACTATCTGGGATATGCATTTTAATTTTTAAAAGACAGAGCTATAGCTTTCCATAGATCACATTTTCTTTATAGAGTTGATTATTAATAGTAAATATAAGCATAGTATAAGCATAATTTATGCTGCTGTAAAAAATTTCAGGCTGAGTGTTAGGAATATTTCCTACCGTGCGCTCCCTGCCGACGCAAAATTCCCAATCAAGACAAATCAAAACAAGCCAAATTAAGAAATATCCAGGCTTTTTAAAAGGAGTTCCGCATTCTCAGGTGGCCCAAGGGGGAAAACCTGGAGGCCGCAAAAAAGGGAGGGGTCAAGACCTGGCCTCCTGGGATTTGGAGTCCAGACCAGGCCTGAGGGCTGGGATAGATGTAAGGGGCAGAGGCCTAAGCTCCCAACTTGACACCGGGTAGTTTATAACTCTTAGAAATTAATGTTTCTCATTTTAGAGGTTGGGAAGAAAAAGACAAAGGAACGAACTGGTTTTGCCCTCTCACGGCTTTCAAGATAGAGCATTGTTCTGTGGTACTCAGAGGAACTGTGAGCGATGGAAGAGGTGTCCAGGAATTCACTTGCCGTGACATGTCTCTTTATACAATCACCTAATCTTGTTTATAGAGTTCGCCACCAAAAACCTTCCAAACCCACACCTCCAAGTACAGTTGCATTAGTGATTGAGTTCTGTGACCAAAATATGAATAGCTAACTGCCATATATTGAGCGGGCCTCCTAGGTTAGCTAACTGCCTGAGTAGTTACTACAAGATGGGTAGTTTTGTTCTCATTTTAGAAGTGTATGTGTGTGTATATGATATACATAATTATACATATAATTATATAGATATATATGATACTTTAAAAATAGCATAATTAGGAATCTAATTCAAAGATTTAGTTTACCACATGTTGGAATTATGAGTTTGATGTTGATTTCTGCGTTTTCCTTCCTGAAAAGCAAATATGTTCACTGGGTACTAAAAAACCAGTGGCTGGAGTTTCTGGCTGGCCTGTTGGAATTAATTTTTTTTACCTCATGTTGGATTATTAAAAGGCATCGGTAGAGAGACAGAAAGCAGAAAGAATTAGAGGTCTGGTCCGACCTTAGGCAGGCCCATGTTTATTCACAGTGAGCGAGCATTTTGTCACCCTCATGAGCAATGACCAAAATGCCTACAGGGATTGTGGGCCCCTTAGAAGGCCAGCAATGAAGTCCATATGGGAAGCTCAGAAGTGTATTATTTGATCAGGAACTTACCACCTCACACATTGGAAAAGCTAGCTGTGCTTGATGGCAGGGAGCCTGCAGGAAGGAGGCAGGCTGGACAACAGTACTATGTTGAGAGATACTGTGGAGACAACACATCAAATAGCCATGTTAGTTTTCTGTAAACTTGACAAAAGCTACAGTCATCTGGGAAAGGGATTTTCAGCTAAGAATATGGCTCTCCAAAGTTTGGCTTAGAGACAAATCTGTAGGGCATTTTCTTGATTGATTGATGTGGGAGGGTTCAACTCACTGGGGGCAGTACCATCTCTGGGCATGTGATCCTGGGTGGCATAGGAAAGCAGACTGAGCCAACCTTAGGGAGCAAACCAGTAAGTTTAACTTACTTTTGCTTCACTTCCCACCTCTAGGTTCTTTCCTTGAGTTTCTGCCCTAACTTCCTTCAGAAATAGACTGTGTTGAAGAAAACAGGTTTCTTAGCACATCAATAGAAACCCTAAGACAGCCAATAAATAAATTCAGAGGATTTGAGAAACATAATAAGCAAATTTAACTGAATGCCTATAAATTGGACTCTGAAACCAGCAATCATATAATACTCATTATTTTCCAGCCATGGAAAATGATGATTACATTACAGTACATGATACACAATCAAACAGTGGGACTGGAGAGATGGCTCAGTGGTTAAGAGTGATTGCTGCTCTTGCAGAGGACCTGAATTTGTGTTTCCAGCATCCACATCTCGCAGATGACAACTTCCTATAACTTCAACTTCAGAGTATCTGAGGCTTCTGGCCTCCATGGGCAACCACATGTACATGCAAACACACACAAATACATACACATTTGTAGCAGCACTGCCAGCACCAAATCATGACACAGAGACTTATTCTTAATTATGAATGCTCAGCCTTAGCTTAGACTTGTTTCTACCTAGCTTTTTTTATTTTAACTTAAATTAACCCATTTCCATTCATCTGTGTGTTGCCCTGAGGGCCATTTACCTCATCTACATACTGTCCATCCTGCTTTCCTGCTTCCTCTGAGTCTGACTGGCTAGCTCCCCTTTTGTCTCTGCCACTATCCCTGCCTATCACTTCTCTGCCTAGATATTGGCCATCCAGCTTTTTATTAGAACAATCAGGTGCCTTAAGCAGGCAAAGCAAAACAGCAACATATAATTTTTACATAATTAAACAAATGCAGCAAAAACAAATGCAATCCATCTTTACAGAGCTAAACAATTATCCTGCAACACAATCAAATACAACACATCTTTACATAGTTAAACAAATATTCTATTCCACAAAACACATTAATAAAAAATCTTTATACATAGTTTTCAAAAAGTAATGGAAATTCAGCTCATATAGAAAGGCCTGAAACCCTATCTGGTATAAATTAGTGATACCAGGGTCAGCAGTTATTCAGCAGGAATCAAGGCTCACACCTGCCATGTAGACATTGTTTGGGGCACAGTTACTATGGAGTTCTTAGATATTGGACTATGAAAAGCAAAGTAGACATGATTGCCCTTGAAATTTGTTCTCATAACCAGAGAGAAGAAAAAAATGAAAAAAAAAAAAAACAAAGCTGTGGTCAGAAATGGTGTGATAGAACATTCCACCATGGTATCAATGGCTCGAGAAAATACAATGGTAATATTTGCTTTTCTATTTACAAGGTCTCAAAATCTCACACAGTCACACAGTGCATATTTTCATCTCTAGCTAAATCCAAGATCCATCTCTTCTCTGGAACACTTAGGATGTCAGTGACCTGGTGCACCATCTACTTCATGTGTCTGTCTATGAAAAAGACCTCACGGTATCTCCTTTATGGGGCACACTGGATTTCTTTCTACAGTAAGTTTCCTATGGAGTTCGAAGAAACATATTTAAGAGAAATTTGTTTTTCAAGATACAAGTTGATTTTCAAATTTCAGCTATTCTTGATACAAATGTTGGAAAGTTAGTAAAAATTTGAATCAGGCTAATAGCACATTGATTAATAATGTTCTTATTGTTAGAAATAACATCTGATGGATAACTCTTCAAAGATACTTTGAGCCAGCTTACGTCTAGCTACAAATGAAATCATGAGAACCCTGTTTATTTCTACTAGTCTAGCTATTTCTCCCACCCAAACTCAAATTAGATACCCTCACTAACCAAAATGAAAAATGTTGAATAAAAATTATTAACAGCCAAGTTTGCCTGCAAAGTCATGTGTCTGATAAACTTTAAAATATGTAGGATGTAAAACATAGAGATGAATGCATACACAGTTTATTGAGAGAAAGACACAGGGAAGATAACACCTTGATGTGTAAGATTGTGCCCTCCTGATTTTTCAAAGAAGGGTCATGTTTTAGAGTGTATAAACTAACTGTACTCTACACTCAGGCAACCTACCAGTCTAGGTTGATGCCTTACTTTGCAATATTGAAAAACTGCCTCACTTTTGCTACTTTGAATCTTCAGTATTCTTATTATGAAGTGAGAATCATTTCTCACAACTTAGAAATGTTTCCAAGAATATAATTTTTCTTCAAGTTGATTTGTCACTATTGGTACCAATTGAAGAGACCCAAAAACTCTTTCTCAGATTCCAGATCAACCTATAGTCACCCACAAAACCATTCCCAAATAATAAGTAATGACTAGAGACTTGATATATATACACACAAACCATGGGCTTCCAAAAATAATGGCAAAATATCAGATTCACTCTTGCAAAAACAAAGATTATTGAACATAATTTTGGTGTCGATCTTTAGCTTCAAACCTTTATTCCACTAAAAATGTCCTTTCATAGGAAAACAATCCCCTTTTCATTTTTCGTGCACTGGGCAATCAAAACACTTCTGAAATGAAGAATATGACCAGAATATAAGCACCAATAGTTACCATCAGATTTTAACAACTGTTTGCTACTATTAGGTCATCATCATTTAAGATTATATAGTAAATTTTATTTTAAGTATCTGCTGAAGTGATCAACAGAAAACCTTATGGAACAGAAAAAGCCAAAATTAGTTATGTGAAATCAAGGTGACTGTACCTTTTTAATTTTTAAAATATGGATAGATCTTATGATGACATGGAAATAAAGCTATTAAAAGGAAGAACTATTACTGTTATTACTGATTGTGTACATCTTTATGCCAACTTTAATTGGCTTTTATTGAGTTAAGTTTGTGTGCTTTGTGATATGATTAAAAAATAATTGAGTTTGACTTGAAGCTCAGTTATGTCAATGATTAATACTATTTTACATTGTTTAAAAAGTCGATATAACAGAAAGCCAAACACACACACACACTCTCTCTCTCTCTCTCTCTCTCTCTCTCTCTCTCTCTCATTTTTTTTTTTTCAAAACAGGATTTCTCTGTGTAGCTTTGGAGTCTGTCCTGGAACTAGGTCTGTAGACCAGGCTGGCCTCGAACTCCCAGAGACCCCTCTGCCTCTGCCTCCAGAGTGCTGGGATTAAAGGCGTGCACCACCACCGCCCAGCTAAACACTCTTATTTAAGTTATATGTGGAATTCACAAAATGCAGCACAGAAGCAGCAAAAACTAAGTGGAACCTGGTTGGGGTATGTAGGATGCTGTTTAAAACAAAGTTTCAAAATGAAAAATCCATGAAAATTGTTGAAAAATGTGCTTTCACAAGAAAATGAAGCTATTGCATTTATTGACTCCTTTTATATATATATATAAAATATATATATATTTCAAGAGATGGTTTAGAGCAGCGGTTCTCAACCTTCCTAATGTTGTAACCCTTTAAGACAGTACCTCATGTTGTGGTGACCCCAATCATAAAATTATTTCATTGCTACTTCACAGTTATAATTTTGCTACTATTATGAATCACAATGTAAATATCATATACATGATATATGACATGCGACTCCTATGGGTGATGAAATTCACAGGTTGAGAACCACCTGTTTAAAGGATAAATATATAGGTTTTTAAAATCAGCTCTTGAAGTTAGTGTGCCAATTTTCATGGCATTTTCATACATGCTTCAGCCTTCCTCATCCATTTGCTTCATGGTACTCCCCTTTTGCTAATCCCCTTCCTCTTCCACATAGCCCCCTTTCTGACTTCCTGTCACAGATGTTGTACCACTCTTTCTCCCCAAGATCTCTTTTTCATGTCTGTGTCCCCTTTTCTTTTCTATGACCACATACAGAAACATATTTAAATCTAGATTCTTCAGATGTGAGAAAATGTAATATTTGTCTTTCTTTGGCCTATTTCCCATAACATGGTGATTTCCATTTCTATCCGCTTTCCTCATCACGGGATGAATCTTTCTAGATTTTTGGATTTCTCTGAGTTTTCTGTTTCTTGGTATTTTGTTTCTTGAAGTTTATCTAAGATATTTTTGGTTTCAGAAAGCATGTCTGGTGTGCAGGAAAGAATGTTACTGTCCTCTTGTTGCCTGATACTTTCCTATTGTTCTTAGGATTAGAATTTTGATCCATAGCATTTTTTCCAATCTTACCGTTGAGACCCTCCTTTCCAGCTGTCAGTGGACATCAGTACAGTGCTGTTCGTCAGGCATTGAGCGTTAATTCAGAACGTCTTCCTTGAAGTTCATTGACCCCTTGTGAACTCCATTTACTTCTAATCCTTTCTTCTCTCCAATGTTTGAATAGCTACTTTGAGTCAGAAAAAATAGGCATAGTGAAAATTATTATAATAACTCCATCTGGGCTAGTTTCCTAGAGAAGAAAACTCTAGGTGATAGTCTTGTCTCTTGCAGTTTTAAGTTGGAAGAAGTAGCCTTACTCAATATTGTTAAGATCTATGTACTGGTCAATGCAAATATCTGTCTGCAAACAGTTGAATAGTAAACAGTTATTTTAAAATATTAAAAATAAGTCCAATATACTTTTCACATAACATTTTTAATTTAAAAATTTAAAGCAACATATCTACTTAAAACATTAAACAAAACAAATTACCTAAGTTGCTTCATGAAATAAAAGGCCCGTTGAGTCTCTTGAGTTTGCTTGTAATGTAGCCATTTGGCAATCAGCTTCAGTCTACTCTGCCACATTACTCTTGTCTATTGACTTCTACATTGGCCAACATTCAACATCCACATGGACAATCCACCCTACATCCAGATCTCTGGGTAGCACATGAACTCATGAACGCTTAGTTTAGCTGTTCCTTGCAAACCCTCCATCTGCTTCTTAAATTGGTTCTTCTACTCCTGTGACTGGCTAGTCAACACTTACAAAAGCAGGGTTTTTTTTTTTTCTTTCTTTTTTAAGATTTTTTTTTATTACATATACAGTGTTCTATCTGAATGTATGCTGCAGGCCAGATCTCATTAAAGATGGCTGTGAGCCACCATGTGATTGCTGGAAATTGAACTCAGGACCTCTGGAAGAGCAGTTAAGTGCTCTTAACCTCTGAGGCATCTCTCCAGCCCCCCAAAGCAGTTTTCTTTCTTTCTTTCTTTCTTTCTTTCTTTCTTTCTTTCTTTTCTTTCTTTTTTTGTGAGACAGGGTTTCTCTGTAGCTTTGGAGCCTGTCCTGGAACTAGCTCTTGTAGACCAGGCTGGCCTCGAACTCACAAAGATCTGCCTGCCTCTGCCTCCCAAATGCTTGAATTAAAGGTGTGTGGACCACCGCCAGGCAAAAAAGCAGTTTTCCTAAGGTCAGACTTAGTACATCTTCCTCTCAGCTGTACCCTGGTACTTTGTATAAGAGAACAAGTGGCCCCTGGAGGCAACACCTCTACTTCTGCTGTTTGTGTGGAGATTCACCTACTCCCCCACCAATCGTCTTTTGCGTAAGACCAATTTCTAAGAAAATAGTATAGGTTCTCCAAACTGAAAATAATAATTTTTAAGGTTCCACAGATTCTGCAAATAAACAAAAACACTTAAAAATATAATCCATTAAGCACATGAGTAAACATACTGTTCAGGAATATAACTGAAGGCAGGATTTCAAGGTGGTATTTACATACACATGTTCACAGTAGTCAAAAGGTGAAGGTAACCCAAGTGCTTCTCCATGGAAAAGAAGTCATGCTACTTACATACAATGGACTATCACTCAGCTTTAAAATCAAAAGAAATCCTGTTAGTCTTTAGGTCACGTGAAAAAAGCCAGTCACGAAACAGAAAAACTGCATGAGCTGACCTATATGGAGCATCTAAACAGTCAAATTCAGAGAAACTAAATGCTGATTTCAGGAACTTGGAAGAAGGGGAAATAGGAATGTATTGTTTAGTGAACATGGAATTTTTAGTTTTGCGACATAAGTAATTGCTGGAGATCTGCTACAGAAAAACATGAATACATGTACCACTTGAATTATTTACTTATGAATGGTAAAAAAAAATACAATTTTAAGTTATTTGTCCTTTACCACAACTCAGAGTTCCTAGACCTGATAGCTCTTTCTATTTGCAGCTTCTCAGAACTTTCTATTGGTACTGTCGTCTTTGTCTCTCCTGCCTGCTTTAGGCCACTACCATCTGATTTCAATTACCTCTCCACATTTCTAGTCTCAGTATACTCAGGGTATTGGCCTTTGTTCACCACTTATTTCTGGAAGTTCTCTGATCCCTTGACTTCTGTGAGACTCTGCCTTATACTTTGCTGATGTCTCAGTGACAACTCTTTTTCTGTTTAGTCTTTGTTTTTCTGCCTGTTCATAGATGCTTATGTCCTTGCCCTGTCTCTATTTTGTGCCTTTTACAATCTTAACATTTTCCTTGTGAAAGCACAATTAAACAATGGCTGCTAGCTATCAGATTTTTATCTCTGCTCAGGACTCTCTCTGCCTTGTGGATTCTATATGAGTCCAATAAGCTATTTCAATTCAGTTCATCAAATGACACTCATTCTTCCTCTTGTGTCTTTAACTAATATATCCCTCCACATTTTGTTCTAAAGCCTGGGGTTCATATTAGGATCCTGATTCTCTTTTATTCTTCGTATCAAATTGGTCCAGAAGGTGTTACTCATTCTCAAACTTTATCTCAACTGCCGGTGTTTTCTTTCCATCGCCGACCACTTTCAAGCTGGTCTGCTTTTAATTTTGTCTTCAAGTTAACTTTCCACATCATTTTATTTTTTTGGGAGTCTCTTGAACTCCCCCAATCAACAACTTGAAGGAAGGCAGCCCATGCCTGACACTGGGGGTTTTGTTAGGTAGTCTATAGCTTTGGGGAAGCATTATTGCCACAAAAGATGTAACTTCATTTACATTTTCATTTAAATTACATATACACACATACACTTAGTGTTTATGTATGGCCTTTTTTTTTCATCTGTAATGTCCTTTATCCCTCTTTCCTCCCTCTCCTTCTGGAGTGCCCTCCTTCCCGCCAGATAAACTACCCTTAGTTTTCCAATTTCCCAATTCATCCTATGCTCCTTCTTTCTATAGCTCCTTCTACCCCTGGTTCCTGTGAGAACTTCAGGTTATACACTAACATCTTAAGATGCAGAAGTAGGATCCACAAATATGCAGAGAATATGCAGCACTTGTCTTTCTGGGTCTGGATTACTCCCATTCAGTATAATATTTTCTAGTTTCATTCATTTACTTGCAATTTTTTCTTTACACCTGACATAGAATTGCATTGTGTTTATATACCACATTTTCATTATCTTTCATCAGTTGAAGAACATTTAGGTTGCCTCTATTTCCTAGTTATTATGATGAACGTGATGAATATAGCTGAGCAAATATCTGTAAAACAGGACATTGAGTCCTTTAGAAATATACCAGGAAGTGAATATAATGTGGTAAGATTTCAGTACTACAGTAATAATAATAAAAACAGCACAGTAATGGCAATAATAATAGTAGCATAGTAATGGAATAAAAGCAGACTAGTAAATCAGTAGAACAAAATAGAAGTCCCAAACATGAGTGCATGTAATTTTACAGCCATCTGATATTTGACAGAGACGCCAAAAATACACACTGAAGAAACAGCTTCTTCAACAAATGGTGGTATGAGAACTGGATGTCGACGTGTAGAAGATGGAAGTTAGACCCATATGCATTACCCTGAACTCAAATCAACATGAAATGGATCAAAGAACTCAATGTGAAATATGAAGTGCTGTAACTGCTAGGAGAAAACATAGGTGGTACCCCACAAGATAAAGGTGTATGAAGAGACTTTCTGACCAGGTCTTCATTCCGTTAGGAATTAAGACAATTAACAAATAAGACCTCATAAAACTAAAATACTTCTGTAGGGCTCAAAGAACAATAAGCTAGTGAATAGGAAACCCACAGAGTGGGAGGAATCTTTGGCAGTTAGTCATTTGTTAGAGTATACAGAATATATGAAGGGAAAAAAGAATCAAGAAATCCAATGATCCAGTTAAAAAAGGGCTCGGGGGGGGGGGGGGCAGCTGTAGCTCTCAATTGAGAATTCTCAAAAGAAGAGATAAAAAATGGCTAAGAATTATCTTTAAACATGTTCATCATTTTAGCAATTAGGGAAATGCCAATTAAAACAACTTTGAGATTCCACATTACCACAATTAGAATAGCTAAGATCAAGAAAACTGACAATAAATGCTGGTGAGGATGTGGGAATGGGAACTCTTTGTTCACTGCTGATAGGATTCCAAACTGGTTCAGCCACTCTGGAAGTGAGAGGCAAAGTCTCAAAAGAAACAAAACCAAAGACAAAAACAGACAAACAAACAAAAACCTGATTTAAAAAAATCTCATGTCTTTAAAATTCACCACACAAAGATCCGGTCTGCACTCTGCTCCAGCTAGATGGTTCTTTGCAAGGTCTTATGCTTTTTCAGTAATACTTTTGCCCATGCCATTCCCTCTGCTTCAAGTCTTTCCGACCTGCTTGGCTAAGCGCCAATCATGACTCAGCTCAGGTATCCTCCTGCAGTATAGGATAATGCTCACCTCGTGGTTACCTCACTCTAGCTCGTTCTTCCAAAGTAGGTAGCAAAGTCTTTTCCTTCATCCCAAATTGCACAATCCAGCCTCTGATACCATATGGGGCTTGTAAGGGGCTTACTGTTCCCCGATTTGCGTGTGTGCGTGCGTGCGTGCCTGTATGTGCGTGCGTGCGCGCGCACGCGCGCGCTGCAATGCAGTGTGAATTGAACTTTCTGCTGAGAACACACAGGACTTAAAAACAGCATCACAATTTATGTAACAAATATCTTTCATACAACATATATTCCCCAATTGACTTATCGAATTCCTCTATCACCTCGGATAGAGGACTAGCGTTGTTAAGCAATAACGTGACACTTTGGCGCCTGCGGGAGGCTTCCTTTGGTAAGGGAGGACGCACGCAGACGCAGACGGAAAAACCGGTCTCCGTTTCCGCCCTACTATTCTCAATCAACTGTTAAAGCAGCGAGCACAGCAAACCACTTCCGGAAAGGTGAAGCTGCAGTTACCCGGTTGTAACATGGATGCTGCAAGCGAAAGCGAAGAGCCGGTAAGATGCTGTTCTGGGGCTCGGTAAATACCCATGTAGAGATTGAATGGTGTGCGATCTAGGCCTGGGTTCGCTCACCCAGTCCTGCTTTTCTTTCTCAGGTTTGTGGGGAAGTGGTGTCCGTGGCCCATGCTCTTTCCCTCCCAGCCGAGTCCTATGGCAATGACGTGAGTATGACTTGCCCACTCTTCCCGCCCTCGCAGCTATCTCAGAATGTCTGAATGCCGCTGCAATGAATTCTAAGTCCCTTTCCTGTTGTCGTCTTCAGACCTCCCCACGTCATCCCTAACTTTTCTATGATTTAGAAACACCGGGGGGGGGTGTCTAAACACCCCACATGCCTAGATTACAACCCACACCAAGTCAAATCAGAATACAGAATGTCTGGGGGTAGAGAGCAAATACTTGGTAAGTTTTTTTTTTTTTCGATACAGTGTTTCGCTGTAGTTTTAGAGCATGTCCTGGAACTAGCTTTTGTAGACCAGGCTGGCCTCGAACTCACAACTTGGCAGTTTTTAAAGGGCCTTAAATGATCCCATTGTGTAGCAAAGTTGCACTGGTTTGTGGTGTGCTTCATTTGGATCCTTATACATGACATGCTGTGTGTTGAGAGACAAGAAGGAAAAAAAAAAACAGCCGGAATAGTAATACCACCCAAATCAGAATGTAATATGTACTAGATGGGTGGCCCAGGCAAGGATGGAGGCAGTAGATTCCATCAGGGAAATGTAACTTGAACTGGACCCTCAAAGTGTAAGTGGACAGAAGATATGGATTTGTAAGTAGAAACACTATTTTCCCTAAGTTGGAGAGGTGCATATGCAGATGGATGTTTCTGACCTCATGAAGGAGACAACAGGTGGGTTGGAAAAGGAGAGTCCGATGGAACAGCTAGCTAGTGGGTACTTGGTCAGACTTATTTATAATCTGGCTGCATCATTTCTTCTGGGGTTTTACAGAGTGGAAAATAGCTACCTGATAAACACAAATGATGAGTATAACATGCTACACTGATTAAAGTGAAACAGTTTCATGTGTATTTTTGTCCTCTAAACAACTCTGAGACACATAGGTGGGTATATTAATGTAACTTTAATAATTATTTAAGTCACACCTGATTTTCCACTTTTGCTGGCTGCTGGGAAAAGATGTCCAGTGGTCATTGTTTTTATTATTCCGTATTGGTCATTATAAGAGCAAAAGGTTTATATTGCCAAATCTTTTAGTTCAGCTTTTATCCCTTGACGGCAACATCATTTTCTGTAGACCTCTTGAGATTTAGCAAAGCATCTTTAATATATTATCCTTTACAGAACTGAGAGAGTGGGGGTTTTTTGGTTTTTTGTTGTTGTTTTGATTTGGTTTGGTTTTGGTTTTTGGAGACTGGGTTTCTCTGTGGCCTTGGAGCCTGTCCTGGAACTAGCTCTTGTACACCAGACTGACCTCGAACTCACAGAGATCTTCCTCTGCCTCCCGAGTGCTGGGATTAAAGGCATGCCACCACTGCCTGGCTAGAACTGAGAGATTTTTGAGCTGATGTTCTTCCTCTTTTGCAGCCTGATATTGAGATGGCTTGGGCCATTCGAGCAATGCAGCATGCTGAAGTCTATTACAAAGTGAGTCGTCTTCATCATTAAGCAGAAGTCAACGTGTAATTTTAGTGTATGATGGATGCTATGCTAATCATACTTCTCAGCAACTTAAACTGTTAAGTTTTTTTTCTTTTTATTTTTCCATTCAAATATTTGCACTTCCTTCCCTCCTCCCAATCCCCTCCCACTCCCCCACTCACCCTCCTCCCTCCCCCTTCCTGCTTGAGAGAGGGCAGAGAAGCCTTCCCTATGGGAGTCCAAGGCCCTCCCCCTACATCCAGGCCTAGGAAGTTATGCATCCATATAGACTAGGGTCCCAAAAAGCCAGAACATGCCATAAAAACAAGTCCCAGTACCATTATCAATGGCTTCTCAGTCAGCCCCATTGTCAACCACAATCAGAGAGTTTGGTTTGATCACATGCTCGTTCAGGCCTGGTCCAGCTGGATTTGGTGAGCTCCCATTAGAACAGACCTCAGTTGGTGGACTCACCCCTCACGGTCCTGACTTCCTTGCTCATCTTCTCCCTCCTTCTGCCTTTCAACTTGACCTTGCTCTGATGAGGGTCTCTGTCTCTATCTTCATTCATAGCCGGATGAAGATTCTATGGTGATATTCAAGATAATCATCAGTGTGATAGTGGGGCAAGGCCAGTTCAGGCACCCTCTCCTCTGCTGCCCAAGGACCTAGCTGGGGAAATCCCCGTGGACACCTGGGATACCCTCTAGAGCCAAGTCTCTTGCCAACCCTAAAATGGCTCCCTTAATGTAGATATCTTCTTCCCTGATCCTATATCTGCCCTTCCTCCATCACCACCCTCCCACTCCTCCAAGCTCTTGCCAGTCCTTCCCTTCTCCCTTCTCTCTTCCCCTCTCCCCTTCCTACAACCTCACCCCCACCCCCATGCTCCCAACTTTTGTCCTGCAATCTTCTTTGCTTCCAATTTCCAGAAGGATCTATATATGTTTTTTGTTGGGTTCACCTTGTTATTTGGCTTCTCTAGGCTTGTGAAATATAGGCTTAATGTCCTTGGTTTATGGCTAGAGTCTACTAATGAATGAGTACATACCATATTCATCTTTTTGGGTCTGGGTTATCTTACTCATGATAGTGTTTTCTATTTCCATCCATTTGCATGCAAAATTCAAGATGTCATTGTTTTTTTACCACTGTGTAGTACTCTAATGTGTATATATTCCACACTTTTCTTAATCCATTCTTCCATTAAGGGGCACCTAGATTGTTTCCAGGTTCTGGCTATTACAAATAATGCTGCTCTAAACATAGTTGAACAAATGCTTTTGTAGTATGATTGGTCATCTCTTGGGTATATTCCCAAGAGTGGTATTGCTGGGTCCTGGGGTAGGTTGATCCCGAATTGCCTGAGAAACCGCCACACTGATTTCCAAAGTTGTTACAAAAGTTTGAATTCCCACCAGAAATGGATGAGTGTTCCCCTCACTCCACTTCCTCTCCAGCATAGGTTATCATTGGTGTTTTTGATTTTAGCCATTCTGACAGGTGTAAGATGGTATCTCAAAGCTATTTTGATTTGTATTTCCCTGATTGCTAAGGAAGTTGAACATGACCTTAAGTGTCTTTTGGCCATTTGAACTTCTCTTGGGAATTCTCTGTTCAGTTCAGTACCCCGTTTTTTAATTGGGTTAATTAGAATTTTAAAGTCTAGTTTCTTGAGTTCTTTATATATTTTGGAGATCAGACCTTTGTCTGATGCAGGGTTGGTGTAGATCTCCCATTCAGTAGGATGCCTTTTTGTCTTAATGACAGTGTCCTTGCTTTACAGAAGCTTCTCAGTTATAGGAAGTCCCATTTATTCAATGTTGCCCTTATTGTCTGTGCTACTGGGGTTATATGTAGGAAGTGGTCTCCTGTGCCCATGTATTGCAGTCTACTTCCCACTTTCTCTTCTATCAGGTTCAGTGTGGTCAGATTTATATTGAGGTCTTTAATCCATTTGGACTTGAGTTTTGTACATGGTGATAGATATGGATCTATTTTCATTCTTCTACAGGTTGACATTCAGTTATGCCAGCACCATTTGTTGAAGATGCTTTCTTTCTTGTATACTTTTAGCTCCTTTGTCAAAAATCAAATGTTCATAGGTTTGTGGGTTAATATCCGGGTCTTCAACTCAATGCCATAGGTCGACTTCTCTGTTTTTATGCCAATACCAAGCTGTTTTTATTACTGTAGCTCTGTAATAGAGTTTGAAGTCAGGGATGCTAATGCCTCCAGAAGTTCCTTTATTGTATAGGATTGTTTTGTCCATCCTGGGTTTTTTGTTTTTCCATATAAAGTTGATTATTGTTCTCTCGAGGTCTGTGAAGAATTTTGTTGGGATTTTGATGGGGATTGCGTTGAATTTATAGATTGCCTTTGGTAGAATTGCCATTTTTTCTATGTTGATCCTACCCATCCAAGAGCATGGGAGATCCTTTCATTTTCTGGTATCCTCTTCAATTTTTTTCCTCAAAGCCTTAAAGTTCTTGTCAAATAGGTCTTTCACTTCCTTGGTTAGAGTTACCCCAAGATACTTTATGTTATTTGTGGCTATCATGAAAGGTGAAGTTTCTCTGATTTCCCTATATGCTTCTCTATTCTTTGTGTACAGGAGGGCTACTGATTTTTTTGAGTTGATCTTGTATCCTGCCACATCACTGAAGGTATTTATCAACTGTAGGAGTTCTTTGGTAGAGGTTTTGGGGTCAATAATGTACACTATCATATCATCTGCAAATAACAAAAGTTTGACTTTACTTTCCGATTTGAATCCTCTTGATCATTTTATGTTTTCTTATTGCTATTGTTAGAACTTCAACCACTATGTTGAAGAGATATGGTGAGTGGACAGCCTTGTCTTGTTCCTGATTTTAGTGGAATTACTTTGAGTTTCTCTCCATTTAATTTGATATTAGCTGTTGACTTGCTGTATATTGCTTTTATTATATTTAGGTATGATCCTTGTATCCCTAGCCTCTTCAAGACTT